TACAAATGCGCTTTACACAATTGATGTGTGTATGGATTGCGATAACAGTTGTATGAGCCCCTAATAAAATGTTAAAAAAAAAAAAAAAGAATGATAGCTTACTATCTTATACTTGGCTGGGAGTCTGGAGTTCAGAAGGGGCTCTGATGGATGATTCTGGCTCAAGACCTGGCTGAAGTCCTAGGCAAAAGGGCAGCTGAAGTTGCAGTTACTTAGGCTTGACTGGGGGCTGGAGCACCTGCTTCATGATGGCGTACTCACAGAGCTGGCAGGCGGATGCTTGCTGCCAGCAGGGCGCCTCAGTTCCCTAGCACTCGGCCTGCATCCCGTGTCCTCACAGCACGGCATTGGCTTTCCCAAGAGCAAGTTATCAAAGAACAAGGAAGGGCCTACCGTGTCTTTTACAACTGAGGCTTGGAAGTTACTCTCTAGTAACTTCTAATTACTGCCTTATTTTACTGGAGTCCTGGTTATGGTCTAATTGTTATGTGTTGGGCTGCTAACCGTATGGGGTCAGCAGTTCAAAACCACAGGCCGCTGTGTGGGAAAAGGATTAGACTTTCTACTCCAGTAAAGAGTTACAGTCTCAGAAACCCACAGAGGCAGATCTAAGTCAGAATCAACTCAATAGCAGTGAGTTTATACCAGGTCTGTGCCTGGTACTCATTCTCAGGATTGTGCAAGTACAGGGTTGGGACCAGCATGCTCTAGAGGGCGACTACATACTTCCTTAAATTTTGTGCCCTGGCTCTCTCATATGCCTTGACCCTTGCTTACACAAGTCATCTCCGTTTAGTGTTAGCCAGCACTATATAAGGTCATGAATACCAGGAGGCAAGAATCAGCGAGGGCTATTCTGGAGGTTGGCCACCGCGAGAGCTAAGAATCTAAATAAGAATTCAGAACACTGGAAGGAACTTTTAATGGTTCAGCAGTTATCTATCTTTGTTGCACCTTTGAATTATTGGAGTGCTGATGTCGGACCCACCGCTCAGAAGCCCTCATTTAATTGGTTTGCAGTGAGAAAGCCTGGCTACGATAAGACCCCCAAACAACTCTCCAAATGATTTTCATGTACATCCAGGATGAAATACAATCTAAAGATCCATGTAATGTGATCTCATTTTGAGATCACACTTCACACAGGATTTGCCTGTCATCGTGCCCATCCACAACATCTGTCCTTCACCCTTGTAAATCTTTACAGGCACAGAGCACCTCAGTAAGGTATTCACTCACAAAGTTGTGGATTACAGAGCAGGTCTGGCAGAAGCAGCTCTGGCTTAGTCTCTGTCACCTACACAATTCTGGAACTGTGTTTACTCCTCACTGCTAGTGGGTGGTCCAGATAGTTCACAGCTTCTGCTTCTAACAACAGGTTGGTGGTTGGAGCCCACCCAAAGGGACCTTGGAAGCCTGGAAATGTACTTCAGGAAAAATAATTCCTTGAGAATTAATGGAGCACAGTTCTACTCTTGATACACACATCCTCAATCCAAGTCAATTGGGAAAACGAAAATAAAGAAGACCGTTTTGAAGGTACTGGTCTGATTGGTGGCAGGAGGTCAAAACAGGCAGGTTGGATAAATAAGTACCCCCCCCACACACTCCAAAAGAACACTGCATATTAAACGGAATTGATTGCATTCAGGCTACCTATTTACTCTTTGAACAGTTGGATAACTGGTGTTTGCACACCCACATTTATAGACAAAACTAACAAGGGGACCACTCCTAATTCGCACAATTTTACAGGCTACTGACGTCATATCCATAAGGCACCTTGGCTGTTGTCTGTTTGTTCCTTGTATTAGAGCTTCAATTCAGAGCATTAGGTTGTGGAAGGCTACGGTTTATGGTGGGAGCTCCGAATCCATTTTTGAGCTGCCACACAGATTCAGCCTTCCTGGAATTCTTTCGGACCATTAGCCAGCAACATGCAAAGCCTTGCCCTTCATCAGAGGGTATCTGAATGTTGACTTCTCCCACTTTCCTAGACAGCCCAGGGAAAGCAGTGTAGCTCTTGACAGGGGGTTCCTAGGGCGGCGCAGTCTTGACTGTCATGGCTGGAGGGTTCTGAACCCAACTGGTCAACTTCTCAAATCTACAGGAGTGTAGATCTGAATCACAGCCGTGCTTTCCTGCCTCTGTAGTCTTGCTGCTATTGTGATGAGCTGAGCTGCAGCCAGTGCCGATGTTGTGGTCCTTTCCTTTGTTCCCTGTGTCCCATTTCAGTTGTTGAGTTTCAGTGACTCCTTAGACACTGTTATGACCGCATGCTCCTGGTCTCCCTCATCTGGATGATTGGTCTTTGTCCCACCGCCAACCTCAGGTAAGGGACAGAGTCTGTGAACTGTCTGGACCACCCACTAGCAGTGGGGAGTAAGCACAGTTCCTGGCAACTTTTCCAGAATTGTATAGGTGACAGAGACTGTCAGAGCTGCTTCTGCCAGACCTGCTCTGTAATCCACAACTTTGTGTGTGAATACATTACTGAGGTGCTCTGCGCCTGTAAAGATTTACAGGTCTTGTCTTTGTCCTATTTAAGATTTAATCAATGCATGTCCATAAGTTTTATTTGAATTTGGGGGTCTCTGATGGCATAGCGGGCAACCCATTGAGCTGCCAATCACAAAGTCAGCGGTTCCAATCCACCAGCTGCTCCGGGAGGAAAAAGATAAGGCCCTTCACTCTCATAAAAGTTTAGTCCGGCACACTCAAATGTGGTAGCTCTACTCCGTTCTATGGGATCATTATGAGTTGAATCAACTCGATGGCGGTGAATTTTATTTTTGTCCTTTTGTCTCCCTTCTCACACTCCTCCTCCTTCAACCTGATCCATAAGCAAGACCCTGCCTCAGAAGGGAGAAGGGAAGAAGGAAGATTGAACAGTGAGTCTACTTTTTTCCAGTAAGAATAAACCCCAGAATATTGGTCCCAAGACTAGGCACACTTTCCATCTGTTCAGACCCTTTCTGGAAGTCCTTCCTTGTGCATTTAATCTTCCTCCTAAAATTTGCTAGAGACTAAAACCAAGACAATCTCAGGGATTATTCTAACTTTGTCAAATACTGTAGAATATTGGCAGCGGCCCAGAGACAAGGCTGTGCTATTGGCATATGCTTGAAATCATTGTTGTCACTTCAATCTGTGAATTAAAATAAACAGCACGAAACACTGCAAACATTTGGTTTGTTTATGTTCTTGTTTTTAATGGCACCTCTCACATGAGCAAGAAACTATCTGCAGATTGCATTGGGAGTACCACGTAGCCTATCACTTTTCTTTAAATTCTAGGCATGGGTGCACAGACGAGGGCAACTGGCTGGGAAACCGTTCATTCACTTTGGCCGTCCATTCGAGCTGCGGCAGAAGGCATTTACAGTAATAAATCCCTGCAGTACCTTCTCAGCGGGGTTCCAGCACTGCTCTGCTGCGCGGCGTGGACTAGAGAGTTTCCATCTCGTGATAAGGCACATCTCTTCCAAGGGGATCTTGAATACAAGTGTACTTGATAGGAGGTGGTGGCGGCTTGAAAGGTGGGGGTCTTTGCAAGCTAGGAAAAAAAATATTGCTCTTTCAACACACACACACACATACATATGGAGATATAAAATTCAAAAATAGAGAAAAGTGGAATTCAACGGTAATGAAAATTCCCCATGAACCTTTTGAAGTACACACAGCACACACACATGGGTGTTTCAGGTAGTTCATGGGAAAAGGGAATGTTCTACAAACTTTTGAAGCCCATATATGTATATATAGTTAAATATAGTCAATGATTAAATATATTGTTATCATATATACTCGAGTATAAGACAACCCAATTATCAGCGGAGGCACCTAATTTTACCACAGCAATTACATAAAAAATGTGCTGAAACACTCGGCTTATACACGAGTATATATGATACATATGTACATAATAAAACTATGGAAATAAAACATGCACACAACAAAACTTTATTAAAAAAACCCAAACCCACCTCCATCCAGTCAATACAAACTGCTAACAACTCAACAAAGCAGAGTCAAACTGCTCACTCAGGTTTCTGAGGCTGTAAATCTTTAGGGGAGCGGAATACCCCATCTTCTCCAGAGGAGTGGCTGATGGGTTCAAATTGCTCATCCTGTGGTCTTGTGGTAGGAGCCTAATGTGTAACCCCTTATACGGCTGGGCTCTTAAAAATTATAAAAACGTATATTCATGTTTATCTACAGCTATGCAATATATGTGTATGGTACATGCATACATATGAATGTGTATATATATATATATCCATATATATTGTTTTTAAGGAGGACATAGATTGGTGGAAAACAGATATGGAATTTTTCCTGGTTTGGTTCATTTAGCAGAATTTTTCTGCTTCTTTGTCCTATCAGTCATTTGAACATCATAATAATACCATTAGTTGATATTCACACAGCGTTCTATAGCTCACAAAGAACTTTATCATAATGTTATTTCATCGACAACTAGGAATTAGAAAGAGAAGCCAACCAGCAATGCAAGTCTTTTAACCAGAAAAAGAGGATATTGCCCCAAGGCAGCTGCTTCCTGATAGAAGGAGCTTTTCTATATGTGGATTAAAAAAATGGAAATTTGTTTTTCTTCTCCCAGAAGCAAAATGTTAACTTTCTGAGACTTAAAACAAAAGTGTTTCTGATAGCCTCTCTGCCCACCCTGCCGTTAACCACCTCTGCCGTGCACTCCGGATGCGTTGTGAGGCAGCTTAGAGGCGGGAAGGAAAGCTCTTCTGGTTCCTGACAGAGCAGGAGCTGGCTGGATAGTGCCAGGATCGCATCTGTTTGAATCAAGGAATCCTCTTAAAAGTCGTCTCTATTTTACGCCAGCACAGCCCATCTGTTGGTTTTAAGCGCATCACATGCATCCAGGTTACTGTAGGATGGTACACATGGCCCAACTATCTTAATGTCAGGACACAGAAATAGATGCGTGAGCATCTTTCTACCCAGGACACAAACGCCTGACAACCCACAGTATCTAATTGCATGAGAGAAGTGGGGTGACAGAAAGGGACTGGAGCGACGAGAGGGGAAGGAAAGGGGAGAAGAGGAGCGAAGAGGAGGGAAGGTTTCTCATCTCCGTATAATGCAGCCATGTGAATAAAGAACAATAAAAAATAATGCAGATCTACCATCTGATTTTAATATAAAGATTCCTAATACGTATTATCTGGGTTTCTGATGTTTTAATGGGGACTTCACCGATAGGAAAAGGTGGACACAATTCTAAGAGGCTTTCGCTTTGTTTGTTTTTAAATGAAGACTCAGGGATAGTATGACGTTCTCAGGGTCATGTGGCTGGTGCCCAAGGGGCTGTCCTTGGACAGGAACCTAGGATTGATGTGCTGTGTGCTGCACTATGAAACACTCCCTGCACGTGGTCCTGGAGTCTTCCAGGTGGGCGCCATGAAAGAATAGGAGAGGATAATCGCGCCACGGGCAGTGTTGTCTTAATCACAGAAACACTGATGTGGAAGATGCACGCAGTGCCTCACGGGATCTCCATAGTCAGCCAATTGCAGGGTGATCTCAAGCCGCCAAGGCAGAAAAGCGAGGCTTCCCCTCAGATGTCACTGCAGATCGCTAAGTGGAATGGATTGCAACAAGACCCAAGAGAGGAGACTCAACGCTCAAGGAACTGAACAATCTACAAAAATTCCCTTTCTTACGCAATTTCACACTTGAGCATCTGGGGCCAGTTGGCCCCAGGCAGTTCAGAGATGCATGAACATGAAAAACGAATGAAGACGAAAAGAAAAGCCAGTTTCAGGTCGGGAGGGAGCTGAGCCTCCGTTCTCATTTCATGCCCACTGGCTTGTTCCACGGGGCGAGTGTTACGGCTTGCGCAGGCCCAGGTGGGGGAGGATATGGGGTCAGGAGTGGTGGACATCATCCCACCTGTGTGGCTCTGGGAAAGCCAGAGAGCCTCTCTGTTGAGACGTAGTTCTTCAGCAAAACACGAGGAAACGTCCACAGAGGAACAACACTTCAAGGGATAAGTAAATACAGTGAACCCTCGCCACTTCGCGCTTCGACTTCCGCGGCTTCACTCTATCGTGGTTTTTGCGTAACAGCGCATGCTCTGTCATTACTGCCACTGATTGGCTCATACTGTACACGCTTGATGCCATAAATAATATAATAAATAATAAATGATAATTGTAACGTCCAAAATGTTTTACTGTATTTTCCCTTTTTCGTTTAATAAATTGGGTAATACGAGTGTAATGGTGACTAAAGGGTGTTTTTTCATGTCCTCTATGCTCTAACTACGAAAATATTTGATTTACAAATAAGGAATCCTACTTCGCGGGATTTCATTTATCACGGTAGGGTCTAGAATCGATTAACCGCGATAAACGAGGGTTCACTGTACTGTGCTTCAAAAAATGATCGGTTGCCAGGTCCCACAGTACTCTACTCACATTTCTTTCTGATACTGACACCATTTTCTCAGGCCAAGGCCAAAGCAGACCATGCAGGAAAAGAGCAAAGCGGCGACAATCACGGGCCAGGACATTCCATCTTTGGGCTTATTCACCTCAGCCCCTGCAATGGGCAGAAAGAGAGATGAATGTCAATGCCAGCCTTTCCTACATGTTTGGGAAAGAGGTTCATTGAAACTATTTCCCCTATCTGAAGCATGTCCCCTCCCCCCGCCCAAGACTCATGGCAGGTTCATTAACCATAATCACACACTGGGCACAAGCCTAAAACGTTCTTATTTCTTTTAATTAATTAATTTATCTATCTATCTATTTATTTCTTTCTTATTTCTATTTTCATTTTTATAGACTAGCTTTCGATATAAGTGCCATTCCTTTTAGACCGTTCCAGAGTTGAGCATTTCTCCCGACCCCCACCTCCCTACTCTCTTTCATTGTTGCCAAGGGTCCGGATAACTCCTGGTACCTGGTGCCCAGTGATGGTCTTTGTAAAAAGGAATACGGTAAATGGCACAAAGAAGCTGTAAATCTGTACAGTGAACCCTCGTTTATCGCGGTTAATCAGTTCTAGACCCTACCGTGATAAATGAAATTCCGCGAAGTAGGATTCCTTATTTGTAAATCGAATATTTTCGTAGTTAGAGCATAGAGGACATGAAAAAACACCCTTTAGTCACCATTACACTCGTATTACCCAATTTATTAAATGAAAAATACAAAAAGTTTTACCTTTTCCTGGATGGTGAGCATCTTCCTCTGGCGCTTATTTTTATTGTCAGAAGGCTTAGAAGAAGCAGCTCGTTTAGGAGCCATCATAGAGCTTAGATAAAATTTCTTAAAAATCGCAAACAATTACAGTACACTGTACAAAAGCAAAAATGCATCTGATACGTAGCTCCTATATGTAGTGATGCAGACAGAAGCGTGTACAGTATGAGCCAATCAGTGGCAGTAATGACAGAGCATGCGCTGTTACGCAAAAACCGCGATAGAGTGAAGCCGCGGAAGTCGAAGCGCGAAGTGGCGAGGGTTCACTGTATTCCAGATTTAATCCCATAAAGAGACGATCAGATGTGAAATAAGGACCACGTTTTGAATGTTCTTATTCCCTAAGGAACAACGAGCTGTTTTATAAGGGGCTGGGGGGTGGGGGTGTATTATGCATTAAGAGTAAGAAGAAAAGTAAAGGAAGTCTGAAGCTAACCTGGCCTGGCTAACATCTGCGGGGCTGTGCTTCTCAAAAACTCTGCCACAGCGTCTCATTTCCGTGCTACTCAATCCTTTGAGATACCTTTCTCTCTCTGTTTCCCTCCTTCTCCAATCCATTTCCCCAAAACCAGAGGGTGAAAGGACACAGATGGTTAGTCTTGTTGTCCTTTCTATGGATTGAAAAGAGAGAAATGGAAATGAAAAGTAAAAAGGATATAAAAATAAAATGATATTGATCAGTGTTCGCTAGATTGACGCTTTAAAAGACTGTTCAATTCATTACATTTCATCTGAATACTAAGTCAAGTTGTATGAATTGGACACTACTAAATACTATAGATTCTAGAATTGAGGCAGCCTAATTCTAATATTCTGGATGATTTTTTTTTCTCTGAGAAAAAGGGAGGATTAAGAAAACGAATTCCCTTAGGAAATAAGGACATCTGTTTCTACCTGGCAGAGAATGAAAGGGAATGTCTATAATGATAAAATTTTATATATATATATATATATATATATATATCCTTTTTAAAGCATTATAAAAATGCAAACGGGGCAAAAATATATACATAAGTACAATTAAAAAACGATCCTTACTACTTGAGAAGACAGTCATCAACCCTTGAGATAAGTTATTATTTATTTATTTATTCTTTAAGAAATTTTCTATGTCTATAAAAAACACATGCCTCACGGATATTACAAATGAGGGCAGGCTATATATACTATTCAGTCTTTGAATTCTTCCTTAAAAAGGGGGGTAGGTGATACATATGGTAGCCAACAAAAAGGGAGGGGGAAAAGGAGAAAAAAAGATGGGTAAAGGGGGCACAGGGCAGTAATCCACCCAAGGGGAGGGTATTGTTTATATCTCCACAGGGAAAGAGGGACCAGACTTCAACCCAGTGCTCCAAGGTGTGGCTGCAACATGCTGGCATGGAACAGGGAACCAGTGGAGAGCTCTGAGGGGCTGGCCCCATTCCCAACTATGTGGACACCTGCTCCTCTCCCCAGAAGAAGATATTTCAGAGGACAGCACTGATCTGCAGCTTAGGAGGAAGGACATGTCTCATCAGAGCACGTGGGAGCAAATGAAGGGGGGGTGGGGCAGATAGTGGAGCACATCCTGGCCCAACAAGCCTTGAGGATGACATTCCTGCTCACAGCAGCCAAGACACAGAGAAGACCACATGGCCGGCCCCACTATGAGACACGACATCCCTCACTTACCCTAGCCCTACAGGGGACAACACTGGAGACACAGTGTGGGAATTGCGTCCGGATCCCACCACACGGAGGCAAAACACTAAGGGCGTGCAACAGAACAGCAAGGGCAACAGAGCAATGAAGTCCCCAAGGAATACTAAAAGTGGACTTTGGGGCCAGGGCTTGGTGCCCCAATGGACTCAACTGGAAAACACTCCTAAAGGCCAACAAACAGTCCTTGAACTAACGACAAGCTTTTCCTTGTTGTTGTTGTTGTTGTTTTGTCATTGGCTTTTTGTTGTTGTTTTGTTTCCTTTTGTTGCTTGGTTTTGCTCTGTTTCGTTTTTGTGCATGTTATTATCTCTGCAGATCTGCCTAAATAAGATAGGCTGGATGAACAATCTGGAGGAGAAAACAA